AGGTCTCTTCTTTTCCACCCTCTTTATTAAATTTCACTGTCATCGTCATGGTGTGGATCTGCTTTCATCTACTGTAGTAAGAACTTGGTTAGGCCACTCAGAATATAAATTTTTGCCTGTAAACTCTGAGATTTTCTTGAAATCATTTATCATTTCCTACTCCCCATTATTTCTGAAACTGATGTTATTAACATGTTGGAATCCCTTGATTGATAGACTAATATTCTTACAGGTCTTCTCTCCTGCTTTGTATGACCTTTCCATCTGTACTACTTAGTGGAAGTATAACTTTAATCTTCCAGCTCACCTACTAAATTATTCATTTCTATGATCATTTTTTAATTTCCAAGGGCTTTTTCTTGTTCTATGATTGTATATAATTTATAAAATTCTGTTTTTTTAATATGCCATATACCTTTTACATATATTATATATTATTGATAAAAGTAGCAGGGGACCTGTTAGGTCTCCTGGTTATCCACTTTCATGACATCATGAACTTTTTACTCACAGCACTTGGCTCAATAGTGATTTCATTTATCTTTGTCATTTCTGCTAAATGTCCATCTCTCCATGACAACACAAGCTCCATATCACCAGGGTCTTATTTTGCTCTTCACTGTCTCTCCAGAGTCTAGCTGATCCTGATCCACTGGAGGCCTCAAAATATACACTAGATGATGGACAGTGCTGTGGTTTGGGCAGTTAAGTCACACTGCCCCTTGATGTCCTTCTGAGCTCTGAGCCTAGTGGCCTCCTGTCATAAAATGTTCTGTAACATTGAGACAGTTCATCTGCATGGGTTGCAGAGTCATCCTGCCACCAACATTGGACAGGGAACCAACGGAAGATGAGTCAACAAAGCTCTGAGACAAAATCCCTCAGTTCACCCCTGGCTCCACCACCTCCTAAACCTCTCTGAGTCTCCACTACTCTGTTCATACAAAGGGATCACATGTTGGTGCCTCATGGGTTTGCTCTGAGGATTAAATGTGACCCTCTATTTAAATTAGGGCATCATCGCCTGAGACATATTGAGTGTTCCTCTTTTCATAGTTGCCATCATTATACTCATTACATCATTTAGATAAGTTCCATTCTTTGCTTTTATAAACCATAACTCAGGAAACATCCTTGAATACACATTTTTGAGAACACGTGTGATTACCTTCTTAGCATAAATTCCTAAAAAAGAAATTTCTGCATCAAAATGTAAACGCATTTAAATTGTTGAGACATTTTTCAAAAGAGCCCTTTAGAAGAGATTTTGTACAGTTTTCAATCCCATCAATCTTTATGACAGTATATTTTCTCTACGTTCTGGTAAATACTCTCATCACCTACTTTCATTTTTGCCAAGCTGATAGATTTTAATTTTTATTCCCATTTCTTATTCCACATCCTCATTTTTGTTTACACTTATTTAGCACTAATATATTTGTTTGACATTGTCATTTCTTCTTTTCCAAATTGTTTTCTAATATTCTTCCTTTTTTTATTGTATTGCAGTTATTTTAAAATATTGAATTTAGAAAGTAGAAAAAGCAGCCCCAAAATTGGGAACTGGTCTAACAACTATAGCTGGGCCTCAGTGTTTTCAGAGTCCACCCTGTGCTCACCACTTGGCATGTTATTCTCCTGTTAGACATAAGTCAGCTCACAGAACATCCATATCATACAAGGACACTCTGAGACCTGACAAAGTGAGACAAAACTAGACCACTACATCACTTTGTCTCAGCACAGACAAAAACAAGGCACTGTGCAACTCACAAAATACCAAACATCTCCCTATGCTGGCTAGTATGAGCGACCGCTGCTTCTTTCCAGTTACAGCTTTATCCTTGCTCTAGTCGGCCTTGTCTACAGATAAGATTTATTGAGATGCCCAATCACAGAATAGCCCCCACTTCCTGACAACACCCAATCTAGAGTGAGCTCCTGCTCATAGACTCTCCCGTAAATCCCCCGACCAAAGCCCAAATCCTATATATGTTCTATCACCTTCACACTGAGATGCCCTGTGGTCACCGGTACTGTGTGTTCTGCATCACAGCAATGAGTAATAAATCAACTTGTCTGCCCACAGATGTGCTCCTGGTGGCCCTTGGCTGAAGAATATTGAGGTGTGTTATTACTCTTTGTCTGTCAAAGTTTTCATGAGTCTTTGAGTTTGATTGTTGGTATGTGTTTGTATCTTTGTGAGTGTGTGGTTGACATAGAGAAGTTTTATGTTTTTCATCTTTGAGTCAAGCTTAGAGAATTCTTCATTCCACAATTGTAAAACGTTAATGCACATTTTCATCTAGGAGAGAGGTCCAAGGGTGAAGGGCGATAGAATTGTTTTAATTTGGGAGAAAGTATGGGAAGGAGCAACAGATAAAGAATTCTAAGGGGGTGGAATTCTAAAGTTTACATCATCTCTAAAATTTTACAATTATGTACAAGCCCTACAAGATATGTGATATACGTTGTGTTCAATAAATGCTTTCTCTTAGGCTAAGCGAAGACTTATATCTCTGCTTATGTTTACCAGGTTAATGAAAACAACACAAAGAGTCCGAATGTACATAGTCATCTATTAACTCCAGTGATGGGCATTTTCGAACACTTATGACCTTAAGGTGATAAATCATGTTTTGGTTAATGTCTGTATACTCCAACTGTTAAAGTACATATTAATTAGACTTCTTGTTCATGCTATAGTTTAAGGATGTGTCTAAGACCCACATGGACAAAATCATGACTTCCATATGAGAATCATTTTAATGTACATCAACCTATGAGTCACCCAATATCTTTTTGGCAGGAGGAGACTGAAAACTAAGAACATTCTAGATATGCACTGTGAAATACAGTAGCTACTAGCCACATATGGACATTTAAACTTGAAGTAAATAGAATTAAAAATTCAACTGCTCAGCACAATACCCACATTTCAAGTGCTCAATAGCCACATGTAGCTACTGGCTACCATAATGGACAGTGCAGATATAGAACAATTCCTTCAACACAGAACATTCTCTTTGACAGTACTGCTCTTCATACTTTATGGGCCTCAAATCAGATGCATCAGCCCCATGTAAAATGAAAGGGCCAATATTATTTCTCTTAGAGATATGTCAGATTTCTGTCTGAGATATGAATACACAGTAAGCTGGTGTATAGCAAAATCAAAATAGGTCATCAGTGGGTCCAGTGCCTTCAGGCTCAAACTGGTCCCAGTTCCAAAGGGAAATACCTGTCCCTCCACCTCTCTTCGTAGACTGAGGACACTCTCTGGCATCAATTTCCAGGAGGTGAAGAGGTGACCAGGGCAATGCTCTAAGCTAAGTTTTGGAAGGCAGGGAGTCCAAACTCAGAGAGAGGCATTCTGGGAAATGAAGAAGAGGCAAAAGTGGGGACCACTTGGGAGAGTCCCTGGTTTATTCAGAATAGCAGTTCTCAAAGTGTCGTCTGTGGAACTGCTGAAGTCACAGAGACCCTTCCACAGGATTCATGAGGTCAAAACTATTTTCATAATATTTCTAGACATCATTTGCCTTCTCACTATGTTGACATTTGCACTGAGGTAAAACTTACCAAGAACGGAGGCCATGGTACCAAACTGCAATAGTACTTACCTTCACCATCACTTACTTGCAGAAAAAACAAAAAACAACAAAAAAATACTTATACTTTAAAACGTCCTGATTGAAGCGTTAAAAATTATTATCTTAACCAAATAATTATCCTTAAATCTACATTTTAAAAATAGCTTACAGGGTGACATGGGAAGTACACATAAAGCCCTTCTGCTACATTCCAAAGAACTGTGTCCCAAGGAAAATAAGTCGTGTGAGTTGAGCTAGCCTCTTTAGTACTAATTCTACTTGAAAGAATGAGTGATAGAAACTATGATTATTTAGATTTGGTTAATTAGCATATGCTTTCTCAAAATAAACATAAGCTTCTCCCTTCAAGAAAATCAACTGACAGTTAATGTATCAACATAAGAAGATGTATAGAACTAGTGAAACACAATATTACTTTAAAAAATCATACAGGGGCCGGCCTGGTGGTGCAGCGGTTAAGTGCGCACATTCCGCTTCGGCGGCCCAGGGTTTGTCGGTTCGGATCCCACATGTGGACATGGCACTACATGGCACAGATGTTAGCTCAGGGCCAGTCTTCCTCAGCAAAAAGAGGATGATTGGCAGCAGATGTTAGCTCAAGGCTAACCTTCCTCAAAAAAAAATCATACATTACTGCAAATGCCATTCAATAGACAAAAGAAGTCTGTGGATTTTAATGTAACAAAATAGTAAATATTCAATAATATTGTCTCAGGTTCCACTTTGCAAATAACCATTGAGAAACCACCACTTGTGTAGTTTTATATTAAAGTTGAATATTCACAATCATCTGAAAGTTATTAAAAATATTACTCTTGCATATTTGTGTAAGGCTGCATTTTTTATATACTTCAACCAAAATAACAGATTAAATGCAGAACAAATGTGAAAATCCAGCGGTCTTCTAACAAGACAGACAAGAAAGAGACTTGCAAAAATGTAAAATGCAAAAAGATCCACTCTTCTCACTGCCTTGTTTATTTGGGGAAATGGTTATTTTTCATAAAAGCATTATTTCTGTCAACTTTCGATGGGTTATTAATATTATTCTAAACAAATTGATAAAAAACTTTTATTCCTATCAAAGTAAATATTGATCGATATAACCAACACAGTGGGGTCCTCGTGTAAGACTACATAGATATCCTGAAACCAACATGCTTGACAATCGCTGACACAAACCGCCCCTGGGCGAGGACTCAGGGAGACAGTGTGACAAAGAACTCTCGGTGCAGGAGGAGAGGGGTCAGGGCAAAGTCCCAGGTCCCCAGACGTGGCTCTCAGGGTCCCAGGTCCGAGGGCAGAGTCTGGGGCGGGGAAGCCCAGTGTTGGGGAGTCTCTGTCTCCGTGAGTTGCGCTTCTCCCTCTCACAACCTGTCAGGTTATCCTGCCTGGAGACTCATGACGCGGCCCCAGTTCTCACTCCCATTGGGTGTCCGGTTTCTAGCGAGGCCAATCAGCGTCTCCGCGGTTCTGGGTTATAAAGTCTGCAGGACGCGCCACGACTCAGATTCTGCCCAAACCCCCAGAATGAGGGTTATGATGCCGCCAACTTTCCTCTTGCTGCTCTCAGGGACCCTGACCCAGACCTGGGCGGGTGAGCGCGGGGTCGGGAGAAAACGGCCTCTGCAGGGGGCGGAGCGAGGGGACCGCGCGGCTGGAACGCAGGACACCCGGGGAAGGCGTGTCTCCGCGGACACCTGCCCAGACCCCCCACCTCTGCCTCGCCCCGTCCTGACCCCTCCCTTCTTCCGCCTCCTCCTTTCGCCCACTGGGGTCTCCCGCCGCCGTTCTCTCTCACGACCCCCTCACCCGTCCACTCTCCTAGCCCGATCACCCTCGGACCCGGGGACCCGCGCCAGGAGGAGGGTCGGCCGAGTCTCAGCCCCTCCCCGCCCCCAGGCTCCCACTCCATGAGATATTACAAAACCGCCGTGTCCCGGCCTGGCCGCGGGGAGCCCCGCTTCGTCGCCGTCGGCTACGTGGACGACACGCAGTTCGTGCGGTTCGACAGCGACGCCGCGAGTCCGAGGATGGAGCCGCGGGCGCCGTGGGTGGAGCAGGCGGGGCCGGAGTATTGGGAAGAAGAGACGCAGAAAATGAAGGGCCACGAACAGAATTTCCGAGTGGGCCTGAACACCCTGCGCGGCTATTACAACCAGAGTGAGGCAGGTGAGCGACGTGGGCCCGGGTCCAGGTCGCGACCCCCCATCCCCACGGACGGGCCGGGGTCTCCCCGAGTCTCCGGGTCCGAGATTCACCCCGAGGCTGCGGGACCCGCCCGGACTCCGACCCGGGAAGAGCCAGGGGGACTTTTACGCAGTTTCATTTTCAGTTTAGGTTAAATCGCTACCTGGCGGTCAGGGCGGGGCCAGGTGGGTGGGACTGACCTCGGGGGCGGGGTCAGGGTCTCACACCTTCCAGAAGGTGTCTGGCTGCCACGTGGGGCCGGACGGGCGCCTCCTCCGTGGGTATAAACAGTATGCTTACGACGGCGCCGATTACATCGCCCTGAACGAGGACCTGCGCTCCTGGACCGCGGCGGACACGGCGGCTCAGATCACCCAGCGCAAGTGGGAGGCGGCCGGTGAGGCTGAGTACGACAGGAACTACCTGGAGGGCCCGTGCGTGGAGTGGCTCCTCAGATACCTGGAGAACGGGAAGGAGACACTGCAGCGCGCGGGTACGAGGGGACACGGGGCCTCCCGATCTCTCCTCAGGCTGGGGCTGGCTTCCCACAGAGAGGGGAGGAAAATGAGATCAGTGTCAGAATACTGCCCTTCAGGAAAGAGAGGAATTCACCCAGGTTTCCATTTCTGTGATGACTTGCCCACAGAGGGCAAAGAGAGAGGCACGCCCGTCTCTAGTGGACAGTGAAGGAATCCAGTTTCTTAAGGAATAGAAGGGGAGACCATCCCTGAAATCGCCCGTCACTGGTTCCCTTTGACCCTAGCAGCCGTCTTGTGAACCATGACTTTCTCAGGGTCTTGTTCTTGCCCTAAGAACATCTTTGCAGGTCCGAATCCAACTTTGCTGAGTCATTCACCCTCCACCCAGGTCAGGACCAGAAGTCTGTGTTCTTCTCTTTAGAAACCTGGAGCCTCCTACCCTGGCCTCTCACCCTGGTTCTAGAACTTTCCAAGGAATAGGACATTGTCCTAGATCCCCAGATCCAGGCTAGTGTCTGAGTTTTGTGCTTTCTCCTTCCAAACCAATTGTTCTGTCTGTTCTTGGGATGGGCACATGAGTGCTGCCTTAGTGGCTCATGGAGGTAACTGAAAGTGTGAAATTTCTGATTGTTCCTCCTCAGAACCCCCAAAAGTCACGTGACCCATCACCCTATCTCTGACCATGAGGTCACTCTGAGGTGCTGGCCCCTGGGCTTCTACCCTGTGGAGATCACCCTGACCTGGCAGCGTGATGGGGAGGACCTGACCCAGGACATGGAGTTTGTGGAGACCAGGCCTGCAGGGGATGGGACCTTCCAGAAGTGGGCGGCTGTGGTGGTGCCTTCTGGGGAGGAGCAGAGATACACGTGCCATGTGCAGCACGAAGGGCTGTCTGAGCCCCTCACCCTGAGATGGGGTAAGGAGGGAGGTGGGGGGACACCTCTTCTCAGAGAAAACAGATGCCCTTTTGGACACCTTCTGCAAGGTCAGGACTCAAGCCTTACGTCAGAGCCCCTCCCCTTCCCTTCCCTTCCCTTCCCTTCCCAGAGCCGCCGCCTCAGCTCATAATCCCCATCGTGGGCATCGTTTCTGGCCTGGTTCTCCTTGGAGCTGGAGCTGTGATGTGGAGGAAGAAGTGCTCAGGTAGGAAAGGGAGTGAGTGATCTGAGTTTTCTTGTCCCACTGAGAGGTTTCAAGCACCAGGTAGAAGTTTGCCCTGCCATGTTAATGGAAAACGCCATCCACACTCATGTACTTGCACTCTGGAGCTGATTGCTAACATTGTTTTCTAAAGCGCTTGTGAAAATGAAAGACAGGTTTTTTTCACCTTGATAATTCTGGTCTGGGGACTTAATTCTCAGGAGTCGAAAATTACAGGGGAAGCTCCCTGCTGAGGACGGACCTCCAGGAGGGCAGTTGGTCTAGTCCCCGTATATTTCCTTTCTTCTTGTTTTCCAATCCTGCTCTGGGCCTTCAGTCATGTTTCTGGAAACTTTCCTGTGGTCCAGGACCAGGGAGTTCCTCTAGTATCTCATGATCCAGTCTTCTCCCTGTTTTCTTCCTCAGGTGAAAAAAGAAGGAGCTCTGCTCAGGCTACTGGTAAGTTTGAATGGGGGTTGATCTGAGACCCTTGGGATAGTGTAGAAGGGAGCCCATGAGGGGAGCTCACCCACCCCATAGTTCCTCCTTTAGTCTCATCTCCTGTGGGCTCTGACCACATCCTGTTTTGTTCTACCCCAGACAATGACAGTGCCCAGGGCTCTGATGCATCTCTCATGGATCCCAAAGGTAAGACAATGGAGGCCCAAAGTGGGAGGGGTATTGAGGAGAGGGGATATGACGGGATTATGGGAATTCTTTGATTGGGAAATGTTGAGCATGTGATGGGCTGTTGAGAATGTCAGCATTTATGTGACTGACCTGAATTTGTTCATAACTATTTTCTTTCACAGTCTGAGACAACTGCCTTGTGGGGGATGGAGTGATGCAAGATTAATTCACACCTCCCCTTGTGACACAAGAATCCTTGACTTCTCTTTCTGCAACTGGCATCTGAATGTGTCTGTGTTCTTATCAGCATAAGGTCAGGAGCGGAGGAGATTAGCCCACTGCCGGTCCACCATGACTCCCTCCCTACACTGATCTGTGTTCTTTTTCCTGATCGACTTTCCTCTTCCAGCAGAAGTGAGAGTGGCCTGTCTCCATCCTTGTCTTAACTTCATGTGGCAATGAGTAGTAATGACTTGCTTCCTTATTGAAAATATGAATCCAGATATGAATTTTTTTCTATTTCTTGTCTAAGGGATTGATGTTTGAATTAAAGGAGAAATTTCCTAAAGTTTGGGAGAGGAAATAAATGGAAGCACTGAGAACCTTCTAGAATTCATGTGTTTGCTGTGCCGAGCCTGTTGCAGGTTGGGACAGGAGAGGGCTGTGAGGAGCCGAGTGTGGACGGGGCCTGTGTCCACTCAGTGCTCAGTGCATCGTGGGCTGTGATATTGTCATTCCTCGGCTGGGTCGTCTCTCTCCTCCTCTGTTCTGGTCCCTTCAGTAGAACCTTGCCCCACCAGGACCTGTAATCACAAGGACTCAGACATCACCTGGGCGTTGTCATGTCTTCAGGACCATGGACAGCGAGAGCTTCGTGTGGCTTGGTCCGCCTAGGCTCAGGCGAGTCTGACCCTCCTCCCCCATCTTTTATGTGTTTATATTTTGTTTCTTTGACCCGAAAGAAACAAACAAAATTCTTTTGGATTATTCCTGTTTACTTTCATGTTTCGAGCTCCACTCATTCTTCTCTGGGTGTCCCCATCTCGGACACCAGCAGGAGTCATTGGGCCTGTCATTGTCTCCACAAAGCTCAGGGCGACCCCTGCACGCAGGAGACTCTGTGGTATCATGAATTTTTGGACTCATCCAGCTCTTGCCCTCCTTTTAGGGCTGTTTCCTGGATTGTCCTTCCTATTATTTCCCTCTTTTTAAACAACCATATTCTGGAATTAGCAGAGAGGAGGGATCTGGTAGTTTCTCACCTTAGATGAATTCCTGTTGGGTTTCTGTCTTCTCTGCAGCCTGCGCCCATCTCTGCCCTCAGCTCTAGTCATCCTAGCCCTGGTTCTGATCCAAACTCATGGATTCATAAAGTAAAGTCTACTTTAGATTCACAGTTGGTTGGAAAATAAGACCCATTAACCTAGAATTGTCCTTTCTGACGTGAGAAATATAATTGTGTGTGAGTGTGCAGGAGGGTTAATATGGGAGGTAGGGTAGGCAGAGCAGAACTTGTGAGAAAAGTAGAGGTGGCACTGATGTCAGTGTGAGTGGATGTTGTGCTGTAGCTGCCACAAAACAGTGTGTGACCTGAGGTGACATTAATAAATGTACTGTCTCTAGAATAGGGAGGTGCTCTACGTTGACCATTCATTCAACTGATAATTGTGTGCCTGATATATGACAAGTTAGTTTTGCATCTAGGAAACCTCAGTGAACTAAAAATAGGTAAAAATTACCAGCCTTATGGAGCATGTGTTCTAGTGGTAAGGGGCAGACTGTATGACATAAGCATAGTAAATAAGGGGAATGTTTGTTAGAAGTTCAAAATTCTTTGAGGAAAGTGACCCAGAGTAGAAGTGTGTAGGGGCAGAGAAGATGGCTGTTTTACTATGGTGGTCAGTGTGGGCCTCACTGGGAAAGTGACCTTGAGGAAAGATTTTAAGGACATGAAGGTTGTCCATAAAGATATCTGAGGGAAGTTCTTTCCAGGCAAAGGAACCTCCAGTACAAATATGCTAGGGCAGGAGTGTGTGTGTTCTGGGAAGAGCAAGGAGGCCAGTGCGGCTGGAGTAGAAAGCAATTGAGATGAGGTCTGAATTACACCCTGGTCATGTAGTCCTCGAGGATGTTGGAAGGTTTTGACTTTTCTCTGAGTAAGATGTGGAGTTAGAAGACAGATTTGAACAGAAGATCAATCTGGTGTGACTTCTCTTTAGAAGCATCAGTCTGGTGCTATGCGGAATCAAGAGGTGAAACGCAAGCAACCAGTAGAGAAAACTGTAGGAAACTAGTGCCGTGTCCCAGGCTAGAGATGTTAGTTGCTTTGTCTGGACTGCGAGCAGAGAAAATAATAGGAAGTGATTGGATTCTGGATACATGCTGAAGATGGGCTTTACAGCATCTCCTAATGGATTAAATTTGGGTTATGAGAAAGGATCAAGGAGGACACCCCAAGTTTCAGACTGTGCAAGTAGAAATATGGAGTGCCTCGAGTGGAAATGGAGAGGACTCGAGAAGAAACACATTTGAGAAAGCAGCATCATAGACATCCAAATTGTAAAGCTGAACAAGAGACATCTATTAAATGCAAACAAGGTTAGTTTTAGCAGTTGGATATGCAAGTCTAGAATTTAGGAGAAATGTCTGAACTGGAGAAATACATTTGGGAGGTAACACCATATAAATGATATTTAAAGCCTTCAGAACAGATGAGGTCACTGAAGAAAAAAGAACAAGGACTGAACCCTGGACCCCCCAGTGCTAAGTGATCTGATCAGACCTCACACGCAGAGCAGACTGCACAGTTCTGGCACATCATCTGGAAGGCATGGAGACCAGGGAGTCTCAGACTTTAGTGTGCACAGGAATCCCTTGGACATCTCATTAAGATCTAGATAGTCTGGAATAGAGTGTAAGATTCTGCATTTATAACCAGTTTTGCGCTGATGCTGTTGGTCTTCAGGTCATACATTTAGTAGCGTGAACATAGACCACAATTCCCACATGACTGTCCAGCAGCCTCAGATGTAGGGCTTGTTAAATAAGTGATTCTTGAGCTCCGTGCCCAATGTTCTGAGATCGTGGATCTGGGGAGAGGCCGGTGTGTTTTGTAACAAGCTCACAAGCAATCCTAGTGCTCAGCCAGAGTGGGAACCACTGATGCCAATGATCAGAGTGTTCAGGATAGGGAGGGGTCTTAAATCCATGTTATTTTCTCCTAGGAAAAAAGACAAGACATACACTGGGAGACAAAATGTTGTTTGTGGGATCAGAATTGACCATCACAAAACGTGCGTGTTTACCTTGATTATTTTTTAAGAACAAAACACTCTGAAAGAAACTTTGACCTTTCCCCTAACTGCCTGAAAGAATTTAAGATAGAAGGCCTGTTCCAGGAATACCATAAGATAACGGTAGTGAAATGTAAAATGTATCTCTAGGGTCACATTGTCTATACATGACCCAGCAAAAACTTGTATAACAAACATTTGCATTTCCATCTCCGTGTAAATTGTCTTCCTCCCCTCTGAAGCCCCAAACCGCTACCCCCAACATCCTTGTTTGTCTTTAGCTGAAGATGGTATTTAAGGTGGCAACTTTGGCCATTCTGGCAAGTTACTCAGGCTTCCTGGGTTTTTCCTATATATGCATGCTATAAACCTTGTTTGATTTCTCATGTTATTCTATCTCATGTCATTTTAATTTTTGGACCAGCCAGAAGGACCTAAATGGTAGAGGAATTGTCTTCCTTCTCATACCAGCTCAACACCAGGTTGACGTAAGGGAAACAGTATTGCAGAAAAGAAACTGGTAACTTTGAATGACCTCTGATTAATTATCCCAGCTGGATATGTACCTTCCATGAGCTATACATGCTCTGTAAAGTTTATGGCTCCTGCTTGTGTAGGTACCTCCCAGCTGCAATAAGTCAACAACATTGTTCTTTTGAGTTCCTTAGGAATGTGATGACCCCTGGACAGCGAGTCTATACTGATAGCTATCATCAGTGACAACTGAAAGATCTGGTGTGGTCACTCCCAGTCTGTAACACTAGAGGGCCAACATTCCTAACCCTCTCCCCTATAACTCACTGGCCTATATACCTACTTCAAGATTCTGTGTTCCCCTTAAGATGGTGCCTTAGGATACTAGTCCCCCACCTTCTGACTTGCTAGCTAGTTGCTTAATATATGCCCTTTCTGTGCCACCATCTTGCCTCTTGATGATTGGCTTTAGTCTTGTAGCAAGCAGATTATGCCCTTCATGTGGTAACACTCCCCTGCAGTTGCTTTTCCTGCTAGGTAAAAGATTTGGGAAGTTGTTATTAGCTCAGCAAAAGAAAATCTCTGAGTTGCTAAGAGAGTTCTTAAATGTTCTCACACAAAAAAGAAATGATAATTATCTGATGTGATGCAGGTGTTAGTTAGCTAACTCTATGAAGTTAGTCATTTTGCAATATGTAAGTGTATCGAATCAACAAGTTGTACACCTCTAACATACAAAACGTTCTATGTCAATTACATCTCAATTAAACTGGAAAAAAATCTATGAATTCTTGCTGTCTGTAACTATTCCATACATGGATTTCTCACTCACTTATTGCTGTGAACAATGGATTCGAATTGTTCTAATTGAAACCTAAGTTAATATAGATAGATAAGTAGAAAGAGATGGAAAAGTATTAGAACCTCAGGTCCCTCGTAGGAATTACTGCTGCTGCTGCTGCCGGGCACAGATGCCACTGCTCATAACACTGACTGCCCTGATGCTGGGCACTGGACCCCGCAGTCAGGACTGCTGTCTCTTCTGCTCCTGGAAATTAGTGACATATTGCCACTTACACCACCTGTGCCAAATGCATTCTGCACAGCGTGTCACCTATCTGCCACCACATCTTAAGTCACACTCCAGCATGTAGTCTCCTGACTGGTGGACCTTCATGACATGTCCAACTGCAAGAATGTTTGGGAAAGTGAGTTTCCTTCTTTTACGGAGGAAGGTGGTCTCTGCCTCCTACCAAGACTCTTCAAGTGTGGAATTCTCCTAACGTGGGAAGAGGGTACAGGTTCGAAGGGTGGAGGTTGGGGTGGTGGAGGGAAAAACAATGACAAATTTCAATTTTTGGAGCAGTGATATGAGATAAGAACTTGATCTGGTACATTGTAGGAACTCGGGTTTGATTAGATGAATAAGTGACTAATAAAAAACATCTTTTAACTTACTCCTTTGATATCTGTTACGGAATCCAACTTTTTTCTATTCTAGTTTATACTCACAAACGAGTGGAATGGCATCGTGGGATGATGAATGATTACTCAAAATGTCTTCTCCCTGACTTTTTCTCTTGCTAGGATTAAAAAGTCAAGATCTATAAGACTTCAGAGTATCCATGTATATATATACACTGACATTTTATACTAACTTTTATTTCTTTGTATATGTACATATTTCTTGGGAGAGTATCCATAACATTTATCAGTATTTGTGTGACCCCAACAAAAGTCTAAAAAACTATCCTAGTTTAGACACTGTGCTACTCAGTCTTGTCCTTGAAGAGCTAATAATCAGACTGTTTTAGCAGATCCAATGACATGATATAAATGCTCATCTTTTCCCTGAGAATTACCAGTCTTGGACAAGATAAGGTAGAGATTTTCTTGCTTGCACTCACGTTCAATTTCTGTATGTATCTTATTGTAGGCTGATAGCATACACCTCGTGGGCCAGCACTGGCTCACAGACCACACTAAGTAGCATTGGTTTAGGTGGATTTATATTAACCTAAAACGTTGCTGGATAAATAGCAGGAATGAAAAAATAATTAATGGGGATGCCATTTCCAGTAATATGGTAGGTGAGGTTTTAAGGCTGTCTCATGTGCTTAAAACAACTAAAAAT